AATTATGTTTCTGATCTTCATTTTCATGCCAGATTAAAAGATGGAAGGGTTGCTTTGACACGTCTCGAGCCGGATCCCACGTTAAATACTTGGGATGGTCAACAATTCGAGGACATGTTCCTGTACCACCAAGTAGTGGGCTTTTTAATTTAGCTTACTGTTACTCAGTCTTGATATAGCCTATGCATTTCATACTATTAGTCAGTTCATGTAGCCCCGGGAACTGCTCACTATGCAACAGTTCCACGTATTTTTCGCTATACTTAGTGTACAATCTTCTATGCATTTCATTTCTCGATTGAGTCCTCTCTTGTCTTGACTGCCTTCTTTTATGTCATATAATGTTGGAGATACTGTTGATTGTCTCTCTACCACAAGCTTCTGTTTGCTTCTCGGAAGTTCTCTTGTTTCATGGCACAGTGGAAAGCAAGATGTTAATTCTCATCCCTGCTGAAGCAATACTAATGCTAAGCTTTTGGGTGTTCAGTGGCTTTTCAAACATATGGGCGTCACGTATAAATTTGGCAATACGTACCTTACTTTGTGACAATCGCAGCGCTATACAAACTGCTCATAATGATACTTTCTACTAACGAACTAAGCACATCGAAATTGATTATCACTTCATTCAACAACATATAGTTAGTGGCATTCGACGTTTACTCCATATTTCCTCCACGGACCAAACTGTAGACATCTTTACTTAAGTCGATCATTCAGGTCTTTTTCACAGCTTACTTTCCAAACTATAGTTGGCTTTACTTTATATCACCTTCAATTCGTGGGGATGCTAATTTAATGGATATATTTGATTTTGACTAGTCTCGACAAATATATTCCACGCTTTCTGAATCTCGCAGATATTAGCAATAGTGTGTATCGTATACATAGATTATTTAAATTGATGCAATATAAATTTCCAAATAAACTAGATGTAAAAAAGAGGCAGTTGTCTTATTATCTATGAAGCTAGAAGTTGCTAGCATTCCAATGCAGCAAAAATTGAGTTAATTTGACATTGGACGAGGAAGTTATCACCGGTCAAACGCCAGTCAAACTTTCCTATTTCCCAAATAAGGTCCCAATGCACACAACCATACTTAGAGATCTCGAAATCGACGGAGATTCTCCATATCTCTTAATAATAGTAAGCAATGATTTTTGAAAGCTTAAAATCACGAATCCGACGCCCGACTCATGCACCAGTGCCTAAAGCCTCGACATAGGCTAAACTCTAAGAAGGTCTATGATCTTGCGATTTAACCCAACAATCTTGGGCTCATTGAAGGAAAGATCATGCAAATCGGATGTCTGATGACGCGGTTTCATTGCCGGAAAATCGGAGGAGCTGATCACCTTTTTTTGTAAAGCTAACCCTTAGGATGCATTACCGAAGGCATTGGGTTGGTGTGCAGGTAGGCTAAGGCAATGCAACAAGAGATCAAAAGCCGATTGCCATCGTGACTTGTACCCATGAATTGAGGACCCATGCATTTGAATCATTACCAAAAATTCAATATTCAAAATGGGACTCCGCACGGGTTTTCAAAATTGCATTCATGCATCTTTAACATGTCCCACATAAGTATTTGATAGATCACACATCTCCAATTGACTCACATGTCATTCAATTTCCATGTCATAATTACTTACATCTTATTCGCACATGTTATATTCGCTTGTCACATCATCTCATACGTCGTTAACACATGTCACTTTCAATTGCCACACCAATCTTGTGTCATACACACACGTCATTTGATTGACATGTCATTCGCACTTGTCACATCTAATTGTCACATCATCATGCATGTCATTAGGACATGTCATATTGGATTGTCAAGTTATTTAGCATGTCATTCGTTCATGGTGTCATTCGTTGATACTCCATCAATTTCTCCATCATTTTGCATGTTATTCATTCATGATGTACTCAATTTCCACGTCACTCGAGCTCGGGTTATGGAAGAAGGAGAAGAAGGAACTGAGAAGAAGGTATTCGCAACAACGGGTTGTACTGCGAGACAGCTCATGATGTTCATATCGATCTAGTATGCGCCTCTGCATCTAGCATTGGGTAGACCTCATACAATAACTGTCCTAGCTCTACCATATCTTTTGTTTCATTTCTTCTAGAACAATCACAAACACTATGCATGTCATTCGCTCATGCCGTAATTGATTACCACAACGCATGCCATTTGCTAATACTTTATTCCATTGCCTCATCATTTTTCATGTCATTTACTCACGTTGTATACGATTACCATATAAACTTGTAAGTCATATTTGATTTGGACATGTCCTTCATATATGATTTCTCCATGTTCAATTGCGACTCTTATGTCATATTTGATTCGTGCAAATTCGACCTTGACTTCAATCGCGTCTCATTCAATGTCTCATTCGATATCACACACCACGCATAACATATTTCAAAATATTCATACGCACACAGTGGGGTCCCCTGTTAAGTAAGATGATGCGGTCTTTCCACTTGATTGCGTCTTGGCCAAATTTCAATTTTCAAATTCTTGCAAGGAAAATGCAAGATAAATGCGACTTAGGGTTTAATCGAAGAGTTGTGGTACCGAAAGGGGGTTGTCAGATGCTAATCTATCCTTCACATAATTGAACCCTCAATCCTTAACCTCTGGCTGACACACATAGATCAGTCATTTGCTTTCCAATTCACGTATTTGGTTTTAGTGGCTAGTTCGAACCTAGGATTTGGGAAAGTCTTAGGAACTTGGGGGAGCTACAGACTCACGATCTCCGGTTTGAAAACTCGAAGCGTTACACCGGTGGCCAAGTATGAAAAAATTAGAAAAGTGAAGAAAGAAACGATTTTATTGTACTTTCCATAAAAAAATTTTATGACTCTTTACTCATACATAAAGTTTAGCAATTTCAATTTAATTATCCTATTGGATGGCACATGTAATATTATTTTTGTAGGGATAAGTAAACCAAAAGTACTAAAACTTATCACGAAAGTGCAATTCAGTCCTAAAACTTTCAAAATGTCCAATCAAGTCCTAAAACTTGTAAATTGGTGCAATTAAGTCATTTAGTTAACTTCGTAGAACTTTACTAATGGAAAATGCTGACTTGACTATTTTAAAATAGAAATTTTCTCTCTTCTACCCGCTGACGTAATTTAAACATGAAACACAAGGCTAAAACGACGTCATTTTTTGTCCAAATATAACTTTTTAACTCAAATTTTATTTAAATTAATTTGAAAAATAAACTAAATTGAAGAAAAAAAAGGACAAGCCCTCACCAGGTTTTCCTTTTTTTAAAAAATTTTAGCCTATTTTTAAGATCTAATTTAAATGAAAATTTAGGTGGAAAAATCAAATTTGGACAAAAAAGGCTCGTTTTAGCCTTATGCTTTATGTTTTAGCCACGTCAACGCAATGTAGGAGAGAGAAAATAAAAAAAATTATTTTAGCATTTTCCATTAGCCAAGTTGGACGAAGTTAACAGAATGACTCAATTGTAACAATTTGACAAGGTCAAAGACTTTATTGCAATTTTTAAAAGTTTTAAACTTCTATTGCGTTTATCCCTATTTACATGTAAATTATTATAGTAAAAATAATGGATTCTTTATTATAAATGAGCATTACTAAATTATCTTAGTCTAACATCTACTCACTTTTAAGATTTCTTATCAATGGATTCGCCTCAATTTGGGCTAACCGTCTACGGTTACCTTGCTCACGTGGCACCAGTGGCTAAGTTTATTAACTTAATATGATCAATGGGTAGAAATGACAGATTTATAATACGGATCCACTGAAACAGAGATGCTATGCCAAGAATGTGTTGTATCACTGTCATTGGTTTATGAGAATTGTGCTCAAAACAAGCAACAAATGCCTGAAAATGGAGTACAGCCCTCAAACAGTTTGAGCTCAAAACAGCAATGTCATGTTCATTCAGTTGGGCCCAAGAAAAGCCATCTTCCTGTTGAGGTAAAGGACAGATTGAAAAGACCATTGAAATCTATCCTGATCCAGAACCCAAAGATCAAGTTAGGTTCTCTGCACTTGCGGTTGAGGGAGAGAAAAGAAAAGCTGATTGATATTGATGGACAGACAGAGAATTTAAGGAATGAAAGGTAAGGGACATGGTCAGTTTGTGTTTTGGAGCATGTACTCATCATGGGTCTAATGTTGTTCCAATGGCAAAGTGCTTGGATAGTACAACTGTCATGTAACTAAAAAAAAAGAGAAATCTATGTTTTGAATAGCGAGAGAGAGAGAGAGAGAGAGAGAGAGAGAGAGAGAGAGAGAGAGAGAGAGAGAGAGAGAGAGAGCGCGCACATTGGCTCTTAGTAGCAGTATATTTCTTGAGGACGTAGGTCTGCTGCTCAGTCCAGTTTTTGGAATGGGCTCACCTGTATTTCACACAAAAAGCTGAATTTCCCAATAAGAGTTGGATGTTTTTAGGACAACTGTAGCTGAAATGTCTCTTGCGATCAAAGGGTGGGGAGGCCCTAATTATTGCATTGCTATCAGATTCTTTTCCTTCGAGATTAGAAGGTTTCATGTCATTTGAAGCTGTCTTCTGCCAAACAAACAGTTTTGACGTGTACACACTCCCTTTCGTGTGCAAAAACTAAATTATCCTAGAAATCGTACGGTTTGAACTCTTTATATAAATTATGCGGTGGCCAATACTAAACCTAATGCACGAAATCCGTGGTCACACTTCTTTCTTTAAGAGTCTCAATTATGCATAATTCTTTCTTGACATTTGATTGGTTTCAATAGTCATAAATAAAAATTTTGCGATCCAAATTCTCGAGTACATCTATCTCTCAAGAAATTTTGTCTATTGCTACTTGTCCATTAATTAAAACAGATTCCTTTCACCACTTAAAAAAGTTTGATGGTTAGTTAATTGCCTGATACCTTATATGTTGACGTGACATTTATATAGTTCTGAATTACATGTATTGAGTATAAATTAGGGCGTTTATCTAGAAATAGGTGTTGCAAGAACCACCTAACTCTCTCATTCTCTCCCCCTCTCTCTCTCTCTCTAATAATTTAATGGGTTTGCCATTGATTCTGAACCTCCTAGCCAAGAAGTAGAGCATCCCCCCATGTGTACCCTCCAAACAAGAGTGTGGCCATTCCTTTCCCTTCAACCTCGATAGATGGAGTACTCTCCAAACCATTCGGGAGCTGAAGGATTCAGCAGCAGCGAATCAGGTTGGACGATGTACATTGCTTCTCCGATGAAAGAAGACGACTCTGGATGCACCGAGGCAAGTTGGGTCACTCAGAAGGACAAGATCACCACGGCCAGCCACTCCGAAAACAGAAGAAAAGAGGGCAGTGAGGACAGCGACGATTCGATGGCTTCTGATGCTTCCTCAGGCCCGAGCCACCATCAGCAAAAACACGGCGAGGACGGTTGTTCGAAGCCTGATAAGACGGAAGTACGGTTCTCTAATGAGAAATCCAAACGGAAAGAGAAGAAAAAGGGCAAAGGAAGTGGAGTGAAGGGTCCTAAGCGATGAGAACCTGTGCTGCTCATGAGAGATACCTATTTCTTCTGGTTTCGCTTTTTGATGTTTTGACTTAGGATGAAAATGGTGCACCCATAACAATAAGTTTTTTTTTTAATGTAGCTGGAGATATGAACACAGTATGAGCTTCTTTATATTTCATTTATCCAAGCCAAGGCTGGAGGGAATGAACATATTGTCAAGTCTTTTCTTATTTTCTTGGTCTTTCCTTCTATTTTGTTTTCCCCTCTATTCATTGCTAAAAACATCATAATCTGCGATTCCCAAGGGGACATAAGATTATCTGGAAATTGACATAAATTTGTTCAATCAGATTTCAGGTTCTTAGTCATTGACTCCAGTATGATCACCTAGCAAGTACTGAGTCAAAAATTTGTTAATCCAAACTTCTGTAGTTTGATTACGTTTGCAATTTTGCTTTAGTGCTGTTTCTTGCGATGCAGAATTACCGGTGTAAATCAAGCTGTTTCAGATTAGGACTTACCAGGAGGAATATGAATAGATCAATGAAATCCTTTTGTTCCGAACGAGTCGAGGTTGCAGAATGCAGAAAACTCAAATGTAACATCTCATTTTGCATACGAAACAATATGATAAAAAGGAAAATAAATTAACAGAGTTTTTCAATCTCATTTCAGCGTTCCATTTTCTTTTACATGAATAGAACGATGACACGTGTCTCCGACTTTTTAAAATTCAGGCAATGCCCAATAATAAATATTAAGCGGAAAACTGTCGTGCAAAAATTATGTAAATGCGGGAAAACAAATGGTGTCATGTCAATCGGTTAAGCAAAGCTTAAAGCAAATTTGGCTGTTCCTGCACCTTATGTATTAAGCTAATGAATCATTGATTGTGATGATTTTGTGTGCTTTTCTCCTTTATTTTTCTTCCTCTCTTTTTTTTTTTAAATTTTTAATTTTCGGGTTGATCTGCGAATCACAAGAATATAAGCTGGAAAGTGCGAAAATCAAGCTAGAAAGACAATCCTCCCAACCATATGGAGCATCAGAAAATGTGCGGACAGATAATCGAGAGGAAAACAGAACAACGTAAGTGGTGCAAAAAGACACATTTCCAACCAGCTAGGCAGCCCCTAATGATGTGCTGTGCACATAATGATGCAAGTTGTAAAATTACTGCACCCACATGATTTTGGAGGGCCTTCTTTGGACCATTTCTAGCTTCCGATTTAAAATTTCTAATTATTGCAATCATTGACCGTCCATCTCAAAACATATTTTTGTTTTTTTTTTTTGGCAATTTCAATCATCAAGCCTCTAATTCGACATCTCATATCTTTAGGGGTCCAACTTTTTCTTTTTTTTCTATTTTGCAATTTCTTCTTTTCCTCGTAGGCATGATGTACAAAATCAGCTTAGCTCGTTTAAAGCTTATTTACTTTGCTAGGAGATAATCTTTTATAATTAAAGTTTTGTGAAACATCCCCACTAGTCAAATCCTCCACCTTTAAAAAAAAAAAAAAATCATCCACCTTCTCCCACAAGTACTAGTAGTAATGTAGTAGGTTTTTTTTATTGGCAAAAAGGACGGTGGAGGGGCGGTCGGTATAAGCAACTGGACGTTTTTGCAGAACAATATCTTTGAGCCATAGTTAATTCATACACCCGCGATTAGAAGGTCGAGACTGGCAAACCCGTCTTCGCAACCCTACCAACTAAGCTGTTAGCAATTTGAAAGTCTCTCCACACATAATATGTCGTATTTAGACACCGCGGAGCAAACCCAAAGGTCAATGCTCCACGGAACTTTCTATTTTTCAGGCTTCCAACACCTTGTTTTTCCCAACATCAATATACGACACTGTCTGCGGCAAGAGCGACAAAAGGTTCCATGTCATAAGAAAGAGACGCACCATCGAAGAGCGATCATTACAGACAGGCTATTTCTAGCTAAGTCAAGGCCGATCAGGCCCAGACTGCAGCCGTGTTCCAAGCTCTAGGATAGATAAAGGCCCAAACACGGTGAAGCATCAGAAATGGCTACCGATAAGGCCGAAAGGACAGGTGGAAAAAGAAGTGGGCAACATCGAAGCAATTCAGGAAAAGAACACTACAGTAAAAGGATGCTAGCCAACACTGAGAACATTTGAGTAAATTGGGTATAATTGTAATTTACATTGGATCTCCTGATCTATAGTGGAATCTTATGCCGCTCTCCATATAGAGTATGTCACACTGACCGAAACATGTAAATCCAATGTCCAATTTATTTTCTTATTCAATTTATTTTACTATTCGATATTTATTTCCGTGTGAGTTATCGAATGTAAACAGGAATTGATACACACTAGAATATTTGAGTGAGTCAAGTGTTTTCATTGTGTCGATTTATCTATGGTGGAGTCTTATGATGTTCTCCCCTTGGAGTAGGTCATATTGACCAAACCACGAAAGTTTTGTGTCGATGCTGTTCAATCGCCGGTTTTTCATAGCATGTGGCTTCTTAAACCTAGTTATTAACTTATTCAGCCAGCATTTCTACAGAGAGATGTAACCCCTTTACTTGCAATGCAACCGGATTGAACCAGTGTAGATAATCCTGAAGAGGCTTGTCATCACGTTGCTTTAAGGCCATCAACTATGCTGTTGATATGCCCCTGCTTTATAGCCATTGACAATGCTTATCGGTCCCAAAATTCAAGTGATTGTTCGAAAAATTATGACATTGAAGCAAATACCATACGAAAGAAAAACTCACATATATAACCCTCACAATATCTCAAGAAATAATCTCTAAGAGCCTGTTTGATAACATTCCAGATTATCTGATTTTCTGTTCTTTTGTTCCCCAGAACAAAAAAAAAATAAAAATCCATTTGGTAATGTCAGTTAATTTTTTTGTTCTTCGGAACAGAAAAGTGGCCAAGCAATAGATTTGGAACAAAATCAAGAAGTGTAATAAAAAAAACTGCTTCTTGATTATGTTCCAAATTTATTCCCTAAATCCTAAAACCCTAAACCCTAAATCTCAATACCTAAACCCTAAATACTAAAACCCTAAACATTAAAACCCTAAACCCTGCCCCTAGAGCCCAAAACCCGAAACACTAAACTCCAAACCTCAAACACTAAACCGCAAAACTCCGAACCCCAAACTCTAAATCCTAAACCCCAAACTCGAAACACTGAACCCTAAAACCTTAAACTCTAAGCCCTATACCCAAAACTCAAATCCCTAAAAACCCTAAACCCCAAACTCAAAATCAGAAATACTAAACCCCAAACTCTAAACCCCAATTCCGAAACCCAAAAACCAAAATCCTAAAACCATAAACCCCAAACCCCAAACCCTAAACCCCAAATCCTAATTCCCAAACCCCAAAACTCCAAACCCCAGAACCCAAACCCCAAAACTCCAAACCCCAGAACCCAAACCCCAAACCATAAACCCATAAACCCTAAACTGCAATTTCCTCGACCACCATCCGATATTTGTTTTGTCTATAAGAAATAATTTTCTTTATGATTGTATTAAGGTCATCCAATTCTATATCATAATATATTATGATTCTCTTTCTAGTCCAATTTTATCCAAACATGAAGAATTGTTAAGTCTCCACTCACATTTTATAATTAAATGAAAAAATTGGGTGTAGAAATTTTTAAGGTTGTACCAAACGCATTTATGTTCTTTTTCTATTTCAGGAATAGAAATTTTGTATAGTTACCAAACGCTCTTTTTTGCTCAAAAACTGGTCTCGGGAACATAATTAGAAAAAACCATTTTTGAATAAAAATTGTTCCCAAGAGCATAAACGTTATCAAACATACCCTAAATCTCACCAAAAAAAAATCACAAATTTACCACGAGATTATTGGTTACCAAAGACACTTGGATTCACATTCGGATGTAATTCATGAGCATGCCATACAATTGATTGCTATAGCGAAAAGCTCATTTACTCACTTATGGGCAAATACCAACACTTACTTATATAAACCCTTTTTTCAAATCTTATTCAAATTAGGAAATTATTAAAACTAGAAAACCTACTTGGATCGGATTTCCTTTATAGGCTCAACCTCGAGATATACTTTCGACAATCTCCACCTTGGCTCAACATTTGAGCCAATTTTCAATCACTTTGCTAGAATGTAATAACTTCTACTCCCTCACAACCCATTATGGGCTCAACCACCACAAAGATCTTCGAAGTTCAAGCCACACTTGAATTTCGTCATAATCATGGACCTCATCAAGACAACATTTACCTCCACTTTTAACCACTCCACAAGGATTAGAAAATTACCACATTATCTATTACAAATAAAGCAAAACAACTTGCATCCATATCTATCAGGAGATCGAACATATACTTTGTCAAACTCACCGCTATAGTAGCCATTGGCTCTACAAGCTTCGCTTCAATACAAGCACCATATGAGTCAATTCCTACTTTAGAACCCATTACCTAAAGAGTTTCAGGTTGCAACTCTAACTTTAGCTACACATAGTCTAAATCCATATAAATACTGCCACAATCACTCGTACCTAAAAGAGACTTGTCAAATGTAAGCTATACGAAACATAGATGAATTTAATTTCGGGTAGCTCGCCATCAAATGTAACTTCTCTATTGAAGTGTCCAAAATCGTTTCAGTGGTCTTTGTCCAAAGTGTAGTGCCTACTTATGTTACCGGTCTATAGTGCATGAGTTCTTAGTGCATGAGTTCTTAGGATCTTCTCAAATCCTATAATTAGAAGGTTCTAAGAAAATCTAGTATTTAAACTATTTGAAGATCCAAACAAATGGAATCGCCACCAATCATTTATTTTCAACCTTAAGATGATTCAAGCCTAGGATCCTATATAGTTTAAGGGAGGAAATATGACATAAATGGTCTTTGAACTTTGGCCAAATTTACAATGCGATCCTAGAACTTTCACTTTGTTCAATGTGGTCTCTGAATTTTAACCCAATGTGCAATATGGTCCTTGAAATTTTAATTTGTTCAATGTGGTCCATGAACTTTTGATACATGTTTAAACTAGTCCATTAACTATATGAAAATGTTAAATGGTGTCCTTCCATTAATTTAAGTTCAGGAGCAACATTGACCATTTTCATATAGTTTATGGACTAGTTTGAATATTTACCAAAAGTTCATTGACCAAATTAAACAAATTAAAAGTTCAGGACCACATTGTACATTGGTCTAAAGTTCATCGACCACATTGAATAAATTGAAAGTTCTAGGACCGCATTACACATTAGGACAACATTGAATGAGCCACAGACTGTCTGTGGCTGAAAACTCTATAAATAGTGCTCAAGTCTCTCGTCTAATCCCGATGCATAAATTACCTCACATAAGGAGCAGTTACAGAACGCTATTGTGAGGGGTAGCCTCATTCAGCTAGTAATACATAGGGTAATAGAGGAAAAGCACTTGCGCTAAGAATCGTTGCTATTCCGCATCAAGAACTATTAATCCTAAATCAGCTGCGCAAATCCTTTTTTTCTCAAATACTGTGTTCTAAATGCTAGCTTTGGAGATCTTAGGTGTTGTTTTCGCAGCCAACAATCAGATGGTTCGGTTGGTGCAGTGGCAACTTTTGATTTTAGATAGCACATGACGCATGACTGATGCAATATTTGAGAGACTGAATAGAGAGACTCCACCATAAATGAGAATTCACAAGCAAAAAAAAAAAAAAAGACAATAAAGAGAGAAACAGAGCCAGACCCACAAATAATTACACCCATGAAAGCTAATACAAATCAAGGAAGGAATTCACGAACCTTCTAAGCATGCGAATAACGATGCATAGAGAGAGGGAGAGAGAGAGACGAAACCTCGCGAGGAAGAAGAACCACCTATGGTCCTCACCGGAGATTGAGCTTGAATTTGTCGGATTAGAGCTACGAAGAAAAAGATGCTTCGACTCTAGCTGCTTTTGTGAAGTGTTTTCGTAAAACTTCGATCTGAGAGGAGTCGTGCATGTGAACGAAGGAAAAGGAGAGTGTAAGGTTTTCTGAAAAAATAGACAGACAAAAGAAATCCTATCTGAATCTATCTCACCTCCCCCATTGGAGTTTTTTATCCGGTATATATCCCTTTTATATCTGACTTTATCATGTCCTGAACGGCTACCAAACACAGGATATGATAAAATATATCATATCCCAACTTTTATCCGAATGACCAAATGTAGCCTAGAAGTTCAGAGGAAGAGTCCAACCTTAAGGCTGCATTTGGTCGTACAGATTCAGATTGGGATAGGATAGGATAAATGGAGATTTAAAATCCTCTACATATCCTCGAATTGTAAAAATATCGTATCATATGTTTTGTGCAACCTAAGACAGGATTTGGAATATTTGAAAACAATCTTTGAAAATCTTCGAGAATCCGCAACCGAAGATGAGATTGAAAATCTTTGAAAATATTTTTCATTTGAAAATCTTTATAAATCTTTGAAAATCCCATTTCTGACTTTGCTTCCCCTTCTGTACGCTGGCTCAAGCCCTCTCAATCACGTCTCTGGGAAGTCAAACTCGGGACCATGACTTCTCTCAACCGACATGAGTTCACGTAATTTTGGGACGGCCTCATGAAAAGTGAGAGGCACTTCATGTAGGTCGTACGTTCGGACTCCACTGCCGAAGAAATCTGCTAAGAGAGGTGACATCGAAGAAGGTGTGCATTGTGGGATGGGCCCGCATGAGGAGGTTCCGTACCACAATTCAGGTGGAACTCGATGCTTGAGAGCGTAGTCGCCAAGAAGCTGGTGATGTGTTGGCCATTCGTCATCGACCAGCAGGTCAACAGCTGGCTCTTGAGTCATGCGTGAAAGGTCGGCTCAACGTGAAGGACGTATGCGATTAGGGTGGAAAGGATGATTTATGCAAACCTGGCACAACGATCATTTTTAGACCCCTTTTCACCCTTACTCGTCGGAACACGATCACCGGCCGGCAATGATGACCAACATGGTCGGAGATGACGGCGATCGTGCAATGGTCAAAAGTGACAATGATCGGTAATTTTGGTGATGGTCCTCGGGCGAGCGTTGCCGGTGAAGCAATATGCTAAGCGTCATTTTATCACTCCGTTAAAAGATAAAATATGAATTTTTAGTTATTTTAAAATTTTATATCCAATTTGGTCCTATCTCACTCCCTAGGCCAGATTTCAGATCCGGCATTTTATCCAGATGTATCCAAGTTTATCCAGTCCGAAGAACATCACTGAACACCGGATATGATAATTTGTTATCTTATTCGGATTCAAATCCGGGCTTCCAAACGCAACCTAAGAGTTGAGTTTTAGGGTAAACTGGTTGGTTTGGGCATGGGATTATAGTTATAATTCTTTGGATGCGAGGCCTGTATAAACTTTAAATTTTCGTGTGCTCATTCAGTCGCAATTCCTAGGCCCATCTAACAACTAATCCATCAAGTTATGGCCCAAATGGTGGATTAACTACAAAGTTAGTACAAAGACTTTTTAGTACACATTACAATCCAACAATTATTCGCAAAATGATAACTGGATTGTTACAAACTAATCTTTTGACAAGCTAAAGTTTATGCTATGCTGTTCAAATCGACCAAATCCAGAACTTTTTAATGACAATTGGGAATAGTAATGTTTCGCAGCAAATTGGAAGTGCTCGACTCAAATTCTATTTTGCTGCACGACCCATTAATTAATACTTGTGACTACCTGTCGTCGTTACTAAAATGGAGGATCCCTTGGGCTAATTAAGTAACCTTTTCGGAATCATAAATTATCGGCTTGGTCCTAGTAATTGCCTCTGGCACGTCGTCTCCGCAGCATCCGGTCATGTAAACCTCCATTGATGGATGCACCGAAACCCCTTCCTTTCTCTTTATGAACTCCGGAAGCGGCAACTGTGGGCACAACTGCAGGGTGAACCTAGGTTTCAAAATCATGTCCGTCTCCAACCCCATTTCCTGCATCGCCTTCAAGTCGCACCACCACATTCCTAAGCTTGCCAGTGCCACCGCCAGGTCCCCGTCAAAGATTTCGCATTCGACGCCATACTCATTGATTTTGACACAGTCGATGCTTGCGTATGTGACTGCTGACCCTTCTTGGTCGATGCGGGTCTGGTGAAGGGGCATGGACCCCGACCAGCCATACCCCAACCAGTTGTTCGATTTGGTGCTATTGATCTCAAGGTGTTGATAGGGTTCATACACGACGTAGCAAAGAGTGAGGCAGGGGGGAGAGAGGTCGATGTCGCACCCCTGGATGCGGATATGGAAGAGCCGGAACTCAAAGAACTCGGGCATGGGGTTGTAGGGTTTGGGGATGGACCAGAGTTCTTGTGCCATGATACGGTGAGTTGGTGGCCGAGCAATGTAATTTTGTGTGCAGTTGTTTAGTAGTTGTGAAAACGAGAATTGAGCGGTATATACGGGGTTTGGTTGATGCGAGAGGGGATTGAATTTGGAAGCAGCCGGGTGGAGGAAATTCTTCCTCTAGAAACCGAAGACTGTTCGACTTGACCTTTCAAACAGAGGTTAGAGGTCGGTCAGCAAAAATGCGTATATAAACTACCAGTCACAAAAAAACAAAAGGGACCAGAAGAAGTTGCAAGGTGTTGATTCAAAAAGCGGCTTGGAATACGCTGGTTTGTTTAGGTTCACAGGGAATATTTACCAAAAAAGTCATAGACTACCATATGGATGTCAATTTATTCATATATATTTTAATTTAGCCAATTTAATTTTAAATATTTTGACGATTTGTCAATATAGTTCTTTCGATCAATTTTGACCAGAAATTGCTGGCATAGACATCGGTTGTCTCACATGGCATGGCCGGCATCTAGCGACCGACAGATGGAAGAAGGCAATCAAAAAATCAAAAAATTTATAAAAAAAATGAAGAAAAATGTAAAAAATTATCCACATCAGAACCGGTCATGTCACGGAGGATGGTCGATGTCAGGATGGCCAACCAAAATTGGCCGGAATGACTACATTTACAAATTGTCAAAAGGTTTATGATAAAATTGAACAAATTGAAAAGTTTATGACTGAATTGATACTCGTACAATAGACTTAAGATTTTTTTAGTATTTATAGAGCTTTTGACTAAATAAATTAAGTTTATTTTACAATGATAACTTCCTCGAAAGAAATTTTAGGGAGAAAATTCTTAAGTATCACTAGTCATTGGCATACATGTATGCGAATGAATAAATAATTTGAATTTTCATCAATGCAGAATAAGGAAAACGACAGTTCAATCAGGTGGCAATTTGAGAATGCAATTTGAGAATGCTTCCAATAAGCAAATTTCAATCGTTTGACCAATTCTTTTATTTTCTTGTCCTTTGTTGGGGTATTGTCAATTTGTCCTCTGATTTCAATCGATTAGAGTTGTAGGACATCAAATTTTGCAAATCGACGGTCCTACTTTAGGTGCGGAAGTTTGGTTATGCCTGAGATGAATTAGCATTATAACATGTTTCCTACTTTTTTTATTAAATTCTGAATCATTCATCATTTAATCCCTTAATTATGCATGTTGTTATGTTTCCAAATTCTAAAATATCATCACAACACTTACTCGACATCGATATGAAATAACAAGATCGTTCTTTCATGTGTAGTGGCGTGATTACATTTTTATGTTAGAGTGTGTATGCATATGCCAATTCTGATACAAAATCCATTCATGAGTTGAGAAAATGATGTGACACAGCTACAACATGGTAAATTCAAACTTGAAACATAATGCGAAAAATGACATAACATGTCAATTTTCAGGCAAAATTGTCCAAAAAATCCTAAAATTATTGCACTTTGGCCAAATTCAATCATAAACCTTTCAATTATGCCAATTGAGTTGTAAACATTTTCGCGTTTTTTTCAATTGAGTCCATCCGACCAATTTTAATCGGAAATTGCCAACCTGAACGCCGGCAGTGCCATGTAGAATGGCTAGCATTGACATTGACATTTTTATATTTTTTTATTGTTTATGTTTTTTTCTTTTTCTTTCTTTCTTTTCATTTTCCATTTACCAAGTCCGGCGAGGGTCACCGGCCAACCCTTGCCGGTCACAGGTGAGGCCGGCCAATCCTCGTCAGCGCCAGCCACTGGGGGAGGGCCACGAAGCCCTCGCTAGCCGCAGGTAAAAGTCGTGACCGGCGAGAATTTTACGGCCCTCGCCCAATGGCCAACAACCTTGCATGTGGTTGGCGAAGGTCGCCGACCGACCCTTGGGCCAGCGACCCTCGCCGAACTTGGTAAAAAAAAAAAGAAAAGAAAAAAATAAAAATAAAAATAAAAAATTCAAATTATAAAAAAATTAAAGTATAAAAAATTTTCACATCAGCGTCAATTGTGCCACGTAGGATGTCACCATCCACATCAGCGATTTCTGGCTAAAATTAGCCAAATGGACTCAATTGGAAAAACATGAAAAAGTTTAGAACTTAATTGGCCCAATTGAAAGTTTAAGACTAAACTGGTAGAAGTGCAATAGATTTAAGACTTTTTGGACAATTTTTCCTAGATTTTCATATGCAACATGACATGTCCAATCAAATTCAAAATATGATAACGAAATGACATAACCCAATAATAATCACATGTAATATGACATGTCAAATCAAACAAAATATGGTAACAAAATAACACGGCTTGACAAAATCACATGCAGTATGACATGATAATTCCAACTTAAAACATGACAACGAAATGTCGTGATAAGGCAATAAGCACATGCAACGACATAGAAAATCATATTCAAAGCATGATGACAAAATGACAAAACGTAACAAATCATATTCTAATAAAAACATCATAGCATGGCAATAATCACATGTATCATGACATGACAAATCAAAATCAAAACATGATAACGAAATGACATAACAAGACAAATAATCGCATGCAACTAATATAACAAATTAGATTGAAAATATGATAACGAAATAACATGACATGACATGACAATACTCAAATGTAACTTGACAAGACAAATCAAATTCAAGACAAGACCATCAAGTCATGAAATGGTAACAATCACATGTAGCATGACACGACAATCAGATTCTAAACATAATAATGAAAATGACATGACATGAACAATTATATTCAACATAACATGAGAAATCAGGTTGAAAACATGGTAATGAAATGACATGATATTATATTACTCACATGTGGAATGACATGGAAAATCAAATTAAATTCTGTTGGATGTTTGTTTGTAAAACAAACAAAACAATGCTTTTTCCTTTGTCCCACATAGGAAAGTTTTGGGTAAGTGGGCCATTTTATAACTGTGAGTGTCTTCTTACTCCTTAGAGTGAAGACAATGGGGTGTGTGCTAGTCCACACAATACCCGCGTGCGGGTGCGCGAATAATTGCGCGATTTTGGCGCGATTATTAGGCGCACTTAGCACTTAGCACTTAGCACTTAGCACTTAGCACTTAGCACGCTTGCGCGGCCGCGGTTTAATTAGCTCTAATCCCTTTAATTTTTATTTTATTTCGTAAGGTTATCTCCTTAATCTTTATTAGTTGAAAGGTTGTTTTTTGTTTATTAAATAATTTTCGAAATTATGAAAATTCGGAATTTTATTTATATATTTTATTTATTTTATTTTATTCCGAATTTTACATGTGTCTTTTCAAGACAACTTTTGGAGATTATACCTATTCAGTTTTCAACCTTTTCCGATGGGTTGCATTTGTTCAGTTTGCAACTTCTTCCGAAGGAATATCTTTGTTAGCTTTGCAACCTTTCGTGAAGAGTTGCCTATGAAGACCGATTTCTATATATGTCAGTTTTTGGCAAGAAGGAATAATCATTCAATTTTTTCAAGTCTTCTTTCGAAAAACTACAGCCATCATTTTCAATTGTTTCCTAGAGAGACCCTGGAGAAATACTAGAATTGCTATCTAGTATTCTCATTTTGAGACTTTGTTGTATCCTGGAGGATTTTTGCCGGTGACCATTAGCAGCATTGTGGGGCAAATAAATCCTTAAGGAAAGTGATATCACGCCTCAAAGTCCGACTTGATTGCTCTTTGATTCGAAGCCATTCAAATTTCACAACAATTTCAAGATATGGTAATGAAATGACATGACATGGCAAAAATTCACATACAAAATAATATGACAAATTAAATTTAAAACATGAAAACGAGCTAATATGACTTTACTATATTCACATGCAACATTTGATGGCAAATTATATTTAAAAAAATATGATAATGGATTGACATAACATGAAAGTGATCACATACAGTATGACATGGCAAATCCAATCCAAAGCATAATGATGAGATGATATGACAAGGCAAGTGTTCAAATGGAGCATGGCATGACAAATCAGATTTAAAATAGGATAGCAATATGATATGACTTAATAACATTCACATGCAGAGTGACATGGCAAAGTAGATTCAAAATATGATTATTTGACATATGCAATCTACAGTAATTGAGGAATCATTTTCATTCGGTTTATGGCTTTACTCTGACATAGTAACGTTTATGTAGGAATTGTACCTTTTTTTCTACAGACCGTGAGGAATCGCTCTCATTAAATTTACGTGGCTTTACTTTGACATGGTAACATTTGCCCCTCGACCATGACCTAATCTTACCTCGATCGTAGCCTGATCTCTTCCAGATTGTGCGGTGGCAACTTATGTCGCCAGATTATTGCGCGAGTTCCTAGGATTTTCTTAAATCCTAGAATCTGGGGGCTTTAAGAAAACCTGGTTTTTAAACTAGGTTTGTTGGGAGAATTTTGACAAAAAAAAAAAAGAAAGAGAGAGAACGTGTAATCAATAAAGAGAGAGAACACAAATGCATTAGTGAATGGAAAAAGCAGTACCATAAAAACACGTGGCGTCACATGTCATTCATTGAATGCGCCGGCTCCATGATGATATGGAGAGGTCTGCCTATGCAATATTTTCTCGGATTTTCCTAGATCAATCCCCTTGATAATGGGAGCTAGGGGTATGATTATGGGGAGTTCTCTATGTAGATATTAAAACAAGTAGAATAATGGCATAAAATATATAAACTTTCCCAAATTTTATTTAACTAAATAATGACTATGCACTTTTTTTTTAACTTTTCGAAATATATACTAGGGCGGAATAACCAATCTCTCATCACGAATATAGATTATAAATTACGTAAGTTCGATTTTGTGATTGCTTCATATCATTTTTTAAGGGTAATGCCATCATAAATGCCATAAGTTTTATATGTCGTTTACTTAAGTGACATAACTTAAAGAGAGAAGTACTAAAAAAGTTCTAAACCTATTGAATTTATGCCAATTCAATCATA